ATGCCAGCAAGGAAGTGACTGTCAGAGGGGATGTCCTTTTTCTTTGCCTATGCGTGCTGCGTGCGCTTCTGGTCTGCCCTGGCTTCTTCCTCTCTCGCTTTTTTGGTCCTTGGTCCCCCCAGAAACATCCTGCTTTTTCGGCTTGAGCCCAGGGTGAGACCCTGGAGTTGCTTAGCTCCAAACGGCCCCGGGATCCAGAATGTAGGTCATGTTGGCCAACGAGAGAGAGAGAGAGAGAGAGAGGAAGGGAGCTCTGAGCTCCCCATATATACACTGCCAAAATTCATTATACATACAGAGAATATTCGGGAAAGCCGGAAAAGCTAAGGGGAAATGTGTACTGCAGGAAGGCAAGCAACACTGTTTCCCATGAATACTTTAGCAGGTTCTGTGTAAGTGGGCGTGGCTTACTCCCCATTTCCACCTCGACTTGGATATGTGCTTTATTATAATAAAAATTTCATTAGAAAATTGAATGTTGACGTGTCGCATGTGCCACACTTCCGGCATCCCATTCTGCCACTCTCTTATCTGTACATAGCACACAACACACACACGCATCACTCCATTTTATAATGTAATGTATCCTTCATAACTTTTTAAGACAGCGAGAAAATACCCCCCGTAAACGGTTAACAAATTACTGAAATTAATTTTGAACAATAAAAATGGGGTGGCTTGGAGATTGGCAAATAAATTTTAGGATCTTTGAAAGCTGTGAAGTAAATTAAGAGAAAATATAGGTATAACATGTAAAAGAGTATGATTACTGCTTTTCTTAATTTTCTAATATTAAAAACCATTCTTCTTTTTATTATAGGTTTAAAAACAGAACCCTTTTAAAGGCAAAGCTAATCCTATTTGGCCGTAAACTTTCCCATTCAACATTGCGTATACGCAATGTTGGCCCTGAGTAGCATCATTATTCGAACTCAAACAATCCCTGCCTCAATCATCCTAGACAAATGAGGGTCCTTGTCAATATGAGTAATAGCTCATCAAAGTTTCATTTTCAACCTTTTCCTTTTATTTTCTTCGTAGTTCTTTTTTATATATATTTCCCACACTTGGCTTGCATGCAAATCAGTGTCTCAGCAGCAGCGGTAACAAAATAAAATGGAAATTGGTAACTTTCGACAAACCATTTAACCCGAAACTGAAAGTATGACAAGACAAAGTTTTATTTATGACCAAGACATGGCTAGAGGCTTGTAATACATTTAGTTATAGAGACCAAAGACTGAGTAAGTATATATATTTATGGCTGCTTGTCTTGGCTTTTTGTCACCCACAAAGAGGAGGCCCAAATGTTAGTTGTGACACATGCAATAATTTGATTTTGCTCGCAAATAAATCGTAAAGATGGGCGCAAAGTTTTTGGGTTTGCCTTTCGTTTTCGATTTCGATTTGGATTTTGTTTTCGTTTTCAATTTTCAAAGTTACAACAACAAAAAATACACAAAACAGGACCTGCTTTCCCTTAACATGTTTGTGTTGTGTTGTGGGCGTAATGAGACAAAAGGCAGCCGCCCGTCATGGAGCATGTTTTATCGATAATTCGTGAGTGCGATGCCGCACCACCCATTGTGGGTGGTCATATACACACCACCACCATCACGCACTCACATCCCATCCCCTACACCACTTGCGTCTGTATAACAAACAAATGTTTTTTGGTATGTGTCAGGCGCCGGTTTCCCTTATTTTCCTTTTCCCCTCCTTTTCCCCAGCTCTCTCCATTTTATTATTATTATTTCCCTTTGTTTTTTTTAGTGTTGTTATCCGAAAATCGTTTTTTTTTTTTTTGCGGACGCGCAACTGACACGAAACTTCACTGTATACAAACCAGAATATATATATACATATATATATATATAGGTAGCTTGTATACTATATGTCTAGGATGGGTTCCGTTTGTAAGGTATTGACAGGAAATTGGAACCGGGGACGATTCCTGAGATGGGTGTCATGTTCGTGCCGAATATATGGAGACATGTGCCCAATAATCGTCCCATAAAGCTAAAAATAATATGAAATTTATTGCTGTAAATGACAAAAAAAAAAAAAACTAAATTTACATACGAAATATATGTCTACAAATTTGATTTATTTGTTTACCTAAGACATTTTGGATTCTTTCAATCGATTGATTGACATTAAATGGGCCATTAAACGGGCTGACTCAACCTCAATCAGTTTGCCTTGCCTCGATATATATTTATAATTATTAATATATCTAAATACTAAATAATCTTCTCGCTTTGCCTATTAAAGTTCCCATAAATTATACAAGTATTATTCAATTAGCGTGGAAAATAGTTCATCTCTCATACATAATGCAATGCCGTAATAAGTGCGGGCCAAGAAATGAGAAATGCACGCCAAGACATGCAAGCCGTAAGCTTATTAATAATATTAAAGAAAAACGACTGGACAGTAAGAAAAAATGTCAGGAAAAACAATGGTAGTGGTAGTGGCAGGGGCAAGTGTCAGAAGCGCATTAAACAAGGGGAGGGGAAGGCGAGGAAAACTAACTGGAAAACAAGACGGGCAAAAGTTAAATGAAAATGGAAAATAATTAGCAAACAACTGCAGTGCAAGGAGAAAAGCTAGTTAAAATTATATGGCCTCGACAATGGAATACCCGGCTTGCGGGTTGTGCTAGATATTGCTTTTTTTGAGAGGCACAACAAAGAGAGAAACGAAAATGTATTAATTATTAGTACAAAGTTCCAAAAGCAAAGATACATATTTTAAGCAATTAATAATAAATAAGTCAGTCAAAAAGTACCAAACCATTCATTAAACCGTTTAAATTCAAATTACAGGGTACCAACCAGAGAGAGAGAGCTAGAAAAATACACGAGAAAGAGAAAGAAAGCGTGGCATAGCCTTGTCTTGGCTTGGTCTTACGATAATTATATTAAAAATAAACTTTTTATGGTATTTCATTCATTTTTATTATTAATGCCACCCAGAAAGTGACCTTGTTGAATTATAAAAAAATATATATAGGAAAACTGCATCAGAAGCAACTGGAAAAAACAAGAAACAAACAACAAGAGCAACAAATAGCGATATGCATGCAATTCATATGACATGCAATCCATTCAAAATGTCCCAACTAATTAAAGTGAGCTATGCGAGAGGGTATTCCCCCACCCCCTCCGGTTCTTACCTTGGATTAAACTCTTTTTTTTCTAAGTGCATTGCATACCTTCGGGTGAGCAAGGCTGTGTGGCATGCAAAGCGTAATTTATAAAGAAAATGCCCTTAAATAGTTGGATAAAATATAAGCTTAAGTTGCACTTTATCGCTACAGAAATTCAAAGTGTGACTCTAAGAGAAAGAGGTCAGAGGGCGGGGTCGTCCTGAGGTTGCAAAGGTGCGATAAAAACTCGGAAAAAACACACACAAACCCACAGAAAATAAAACAAACGCATGCAACCAGGCAAAAAACAACAAGCAATAAAAGTATTAAATATACATAAGGATAAGGCCAAAGTATTTATAATAAACACGAATTCAAAATACTCTTTACGTATAAATCAAAACAAACTATTTGCCTCGAATAAACAAATGCTATTAAGAAGCAAATGTACTTTAATTTCTGACTTTTTTTCGGAGGCGGAACATTTACAGTTTTACATGGAAATGCACCGAAATGAGCCCGTGACATGACATGCCAACGCAACTCTGACATGGAAATGCGAGGGCCGCAGTCAGTGGAAATGCGGAAAAGCGGGAAGTGCAGACAAACAGAGAGAAAAATTAATGTGGGTTTATATTATATGTAGAAAGTATTTTTAACAGGGAATTAAATGCTTGGCTTTAAAGTGTAATTTTAAGAATTTCTTAAATGTACTTATATATTTTGTTCTTTAACGATAAAGAATTTAAAAAGTCAAAACTACTTTAAATTATTTTTATAGCTCAAATAAATTTATTTTAATATACAGTCTTAAATAAGTTTTTAATAAGAATTAATTTATTGAAACCAAACCCTTTTCTCTATAATGTTTACTGTTTAATCAATTGCTTTTCGAAATATGTTTGCTTTTGGAATAAATTTCCCCAGCTCATTGAATTCATTCAATTATTTTCTTTACATTTAAAAATTTGGAATACTTTTTTTTCTCAGTGCAGGCAACTGGGGAACTGAAAACTCGCATGATGGACGGACAGGCGGAAGACTGATGGCTCTGACGCATGGAGTGTGGGGCCAGGGGAAATGGAAAGCCAAAAGAGTGGCAGCCACAGCGATAACTTTTCTACTTACGAATACTCACAATTGTTCTTTCTTTTCGCCCTCCCCCCACCCCCTGATCCCCGTCACACTTTCGTAATTGTGTTTCCCTTATTATCCTGACTCATTTTGGGGGTCGGGGTAATTATATAAGGTGTTTTTTTTCGGCAACTTTATGAAATTTGTACGCCAAGGACATGTTAATTAAAAATGGTTCATCAAATAATACTAATGAAAGTGGAGAAAAGTGAGTCAGTTCATGATATCATCGGGAATGAAGTTGTTTTTTTGTTTTATTTCCGGTATAAATAGATTTTGAAAATTTAAATTTTAACTCTATCCGGGTTTATTAGTCCAATTAATTGCTTTTCCAAAATGAATTATATTAATGTCGTAACAAAATTAAAAAATAATGAAACTAACTCAAGTCGAACCTATGCATTACTTAAAACTATTAAAATTTTAAAATTTATATATATTAAAATAAATACTGGAAGTAAATAAAATAACAAACACACTAAACTTTCTAAAACCTTACTCAACATATTCAAAACCTTTCCATGCCATTCATTAGACATTAATTTATTCAAAAGTGTATTAACTAAGCACTGTGTCCACCTTCTATTTGAGAGAAGCAAATATTAGTTTTGGCTTTTTCCAAATGCCAGATTTTGGCAAACACAAAAAGCCATAAGCCAAAGCCAAGCCTAAATCGCTTTTAACGTTCTCGAATTTCACTTTCATTGGACTCAAATATTTAACAATGACAAATAGACGGTCCCAAAAAGGTAATTACTATAAAATCGAGTGGTTCAATTGGATCGAAGGGCAGTTACCACCGAAAGCATCAAACTGAAAGTGTCGAAAATCAAGTTAAGCCATGAAGTTTGCAGCTCTAATTATATCCTTTGTCCTAATTGTGGTTCTGACTTCTCAACTGGAGGCTCGGTTACTTCTTAGTAATGGTAATGGCTTCTTCTGCCTGTGGACTTCCAGGAAATCCTGCTCCAAGAGCTCTCCTAGGTGCCTTCGGGTGCAGACAGATGCAACTCCTACATACACCTGCAAATACTATCGGAATGAGTGTCAATATCTGCTCGATAATTGCAAGGGAGCGACAGGTAGACATATTTTATAATAAGTAGTATTTATAGGAGGATTAATGATATTAATATTACAAAATATAAGTTAGATACAATTGTCTTAATTATTGTAAAAGCAAGAACTTACGTATGTATGATATGTTGTATCTTGCATATTTAATATTTCTTTTTAACGTGAATTTTAATTTCTAAACAATCTCATACTTTATTTTGCAGTTTTTGGCCAACTGGGTACATCCGTTGATGTCTCGACATATTGCGTTATGAATAATATTGGCATTGGTTCAACTGGAATATGCACCTAAATCTATTTTATCTAAATATATTTATCTACCAGCTGTATAATTAACAAACATTTATGTATTCATTGATTAAAAGTCGCAATTTCCATCACTTTTAGCATAACTATATCCTATACTTTGCATTTCAAAATGTTATTTATTAATTTATAACTAAAATCTTTCATCTAATAAATGCTTTTGTCAAATTGACAGGAAACGGAACTATGTTTTATCTGGCGATCGGATGGGGGAAATGATTCATTTAAGCGCGGTTTTAGCTGCCATTTCAACTCGTTTAGCGTTTTATGGTTTTCATAGCGCCATGATGTATGCTTTAACATTTTCCCTATCCATTTTTTTGTTTTTCTCTTTTTAATTGCATTCGCATAAATCGCAGTACTTGGTTGTGCAAGGAAAAACGAGGGGGAAATTATGGTTATGGCCACACACAACACACACACACACAGAGAGAGACACGCGGACAATGTAAATTTATGGAGCTTCGCTTTTTAGTTTGCAATTTTTCGCCATTTTTGCTACTTTCTTTTCGTTCTTTATTTTGTATTTTTTGTTTGCTTTTGTATAGAGCGGATGTGAATGGCGAAACGCCTGCGGATGCAATTAGAATGGCACAGCGAATGCACACACACACACACACTAACAGACAGAAAAACACATAAATAAATGCTTGTATGACTGAAATATAGGTCATTACGAAACATTTTGGTAGTGAAAGTTCAAATTATTTACATAATTTAAGCATAAATCTCTTCGCTTCTCGGTTTACTGAATGAGAACTTTTCTTGCTAAAGAGAATGCCGCTGATAAGTTAAGTTAAGGGAAATAAATAAAGAAACACAAAATAAATTTAATGCACGTGGAAAAAAACTACTTTTAAAGATACATTTTAAGAGAGTTTACATGGAAAATGATTGTAAAAAGAAATTGTAAGCCGATAAACTATATTTTATCGCTCAATAATAAACTATGCATTAACCTATTAAATATTATCCTGGAATTGTTAAATTATTAAATTTTAAGTGAGTTATTAAAATAAATATTTAAAACTTTATTAAAACAGCTTGGATATTTGTCTGACGAAAGATCTTGACATTGGGGTAATAATGTCACAGCATTAAGTTCAATATTTGGTTTGTTTATTTAGTAAAAACAAATATAAAATGTCTGCTTAAGAACAAATGTTTGAGGTACATAATGAATGGGTTAAATAATTCCTTTTATTTACTTTTAAGTATATATAAACCTTCTGTAGATTTAATAATAGACACACAAGTCAATAAAGTATGAAATATTAAATAACTCCTTTGCAAAGGATATAATTTCAGTAAAAAGCTTGTCATGAAGTGAAAAAATCATTTCCGAACCTATAAACCATGTATATTATTGATCAGCATGAACTGCCAAATCGATCTAGCCATCTCGGGCAGAAAAACATTTGTTTACTATATTGTACTATTAGATCGTTAAATTTTCAAAAATACAGAATATTGTTCAATTTTTCATTTTCTATGCCGGGTTGTTAATCTATTAAACACAAAAATACTTTCCGATTTGAAATTAATTCATTTTTGATTGAGTTATGATAAAAATTCGGTTCATTGATTCCATGCCAAAGGGTATGTATTCAGCTTTCCAAAATTGAATTGAATTGATTGAATTTTCCTTTTTCAGCCTCTTCGTATAATAATTGGAGTTATATTCGATGAAGACGATGAACCCAATATGGAGGAGAGTATGTTGGACAACGTGGAGCTCGTGGAAGAGGAAGTCGATGAAGAGGAGGATGTTGAGAAGGTGCTGACACAGGTGCCAGTGGTGTTGACAGCAATGCTCGAACAGTTGCCAATGTTAACCATATTCCAACCTGTGGTAATTAAAAGGAAAGATTAAATTATATTTATTTTTATTGTGGATTATAATAATAAACTCACTTGACACACTCGTATTGCAGTTGGTTGCCTCCAGCCGGCAGTTGTTTCTGAAGCGACGACACCTGCGGGTATTGGCCCACCTGCCGCAGACATTTGTGTTGGCAGAACAGGTCGTTGTCCTGCAGCGAGAGGCTGGCCTGGAAGAGGTGCTACTGGTGGAGCTGCTTCCAGTATTGATCACGATCACACCACGGGAATTGCGTCCATTCAACGATCGTCTGCTCACTGTGCCAGCTCTTGTCCTGACCCGGTTCGTTCCAGTCCTCGATCGCCGTGATGTTACGTTCGCCAAGGTCCTGGCATTGGTCCTTCTCTGACTCCTTTGGGCATCGGTGGCCACAGCGATCAGTACGATCAGTACCAGAAAAGCCAATGTCAAGCGCATTTCAATGTCTAACTCTTACTCGCAATTTGAAGCATGCTGGTTTTATAGCTTATAACTATAGATCGGCCTTGAAAGATGTTTACCATTGGATTCCTTCCTTCATTCATTGTGCACAAAGAAACGTATTTAAATTATAAATTTAGCTGCCTAGTCTTTGTTGCTAGCTTTGGATTCTCTGCCCAATTGTGTAAATACTTCAGAGAATTTATTTAATAACGCCGCAAAAAAAAGATGTTTTGTTCTACGTCACGTGCGGTTATAATTATTAATAAATACAAATACATATGGTTGAGGAAATTTGAAAGTTTTTGGTTTATACTTTTAGGCTTGGTATGCGATTAAATGGGGTTTAAGGGCTTAGGGCTTATTAGAAGTAATAAGAGTCAAAGTCCCGCCAGAAGGAAACCCTGGGAAGGGAGTGCAATCTTCATATCTCCTTCATCGCATATAGAGGCTTGAGTACTGAGCATTAGATTAAAAAAAAAGAACATTGACCTTGAAATTTTAAGATTGAGACTCTTCTTATCATCTTATCTGATTGTGAACGCTTTTTACAGAAAACAAATCAGAAAGCTGATTGTGCAAATGGTCAACACAGACATATTTACATTTAAGTTGTTGTAAGATACAAGTGTATTCTGACTTTCATTCAAGCGGCTTTCAAGGTTTTAAAGATCTCGAGAGCAGCTTTACGAACAATTTTTCCATTATGATTTTCAGGCAGTTCATTGGTGAACTGAACTCCAGCATGAAGCTGTTTATGCACTGCAGGTAGTTTTTTAGCCACATGCTCCACAATCTCCTTGGCACTTATAGTTGATCCTTTTTTAAGGACAACCAAGGCACCGGCAGCATCGTTCTCGAGTTCATCGCGGATGCCCACTACACATACGTTCTGCACTTGCGGCAACTCCAAAATCACAGCTTCGATCTCACCTGGCCAGTAGTGCATGGCTTCGTACTTGAGGATGTCCTTACAACGATCAACCATGTACAGCAAGTTATCCTCATTGAAGTATCCCATGTCGCCTGTGTGGTGCCAGCCCTCGGAGTCCTGCGATTCGCGTGTTGCCTCCGGATTTCCGTAGTATCCCTGCCAAGTCAGTCCATTGTGGACAAGTATCTCACCCACTTCGTTGTACGTGAGATTCTCTCCGTTCTCGCCTACAATGCGAATTTTGACACCCGCCACTGGTCTGCCCATGGGGTTTCCTTTTTCAATTTTATAGATAGCAGTTATAGTTCCGGCCTCGGTAGTTGCATATACAGTGCCGATGCTTGCATTCCCAATAAGTTTCTGGCCTTTTTGTATCGTCGTCAAGGCAATAGGTCCACCGACGTAGAAAACGTGGCGTACGGAGGATAAGGCTTCAGCGGTTGCATCAGGACAATTCACGAGAGCCGTGAAAGGAAGAGGTGCAAGGGCCAAGGTATCAATTTTGTACTTCCTCACCAAATGTACAATATATTCGGAAGTATATGGATTTCTACTCAGAATGCGGGTGCAACCCAATGTAGTGTTATAGACAAGCAAGAAAATTCCTCCTAACCAGTCAATGGCGGTGATTTGAAATATAATCGTTTCACTGTTTAATGACAGCATCAGGAACTGCAACAGTCTTCGATTCTCAATGCAAACAACCTTTGGCAGTCCAGTGGTTCCCGAAGAGCACAGCAATGCCACAGTTTGGTCGCACCCATCAACCAAAGGTTCTGGCCTAAAAGGATTTTCAATTAGCTTTTTATTAAAAACTTTGATCTGTGGTACTTACTGATAACACATTTCGGTGGAGGTAGGTTCCAAGAGGGATTCAATATTCGGCACTCCCTCAACGTGATCCGTAAGAGTATAGATTTCCGGTTGCCATTCAATCGTTGCTGCCTTGACTTTTTCGAAATCCTTTCCATCGCAAAATATCAGATTTGGCTTGGTTATCGAAAAAACGTACCTTAAGGTTGCTAGAATCAAACATTAATATCAGGGAATTAAGTATATAATGACACCAACAGACCTTCATCCAACACTGAATGTGGAGAGTGGAATGGAGTTCCATTCATTAGACAGGCCACTGCCAAAGATAGCAAATACTTTGAGTGACCAGCTGCTATCCCAATGATATTCTTGTGGTTTAATCCTCGTCCCTTGAAGAATTGAGCGATGCGAATGGCCCACGTGAGTGCCTCTTCAAAGGTCACTGCCACGCCTTCATCATCCCATATCTGAAATGAAACTAACGAAATTAGTTAAATAACACCTCATCTTGGGTGTCTCTTTTACCACACCTGACAAATGTTCTTCGGCCAGTTCTTCATGGATTGGAATATGACGACACCCAAGGCAGTATCATCCTTATAAATGGAGTTCCGCGGAGGTCCACTCCAGATGCGTTCCGCCGCACTGTACGTTACCAGAGTTTGATCCATTTGTAAAATTACGGGTATGAAGAAAACACAGCTATTTATACGTTTTCTCTCTGATTGTGCAAGTAAACAATCAAATCATTTAGATAAGATTCATAAAATTCAGCTTGCACTTTTTCTTTACATTTTATCACATCAATGGCTTCACAAGGGTTTATTGTCGTACTTTTTTTATAAGGCCTAATTTTAGGCTCATTTATTTATTGGCAGCCAAGTTCTAATCAGAGGTTGTTTATCGAATTTATATAGCCATAAAGCATACAGAACGTTTTAAAAAGAAACTGCGATAATCTAATTATCTTAAATGAACTATAATTTTAAATTATTAATAATTTGTTGTTATCTCATAGCCATAAATAAATCTCTGCTTTCTTTCTCATGATTTATCCATTTGTATTGAGGGACGCGCTCTTAGGATGTATATCTTCGGGAGCTATTTGATTAATATATTTTCTCGTACACATTCCCATCTCAGAATATTAAAAATAAATGAATTTATTTTTCACAATAGGTTATAATATATTTTTTTCAGATTGAATGAAAATGTATAATCTGTTTTTTCTAGTATAGTCTTAAACACCTTCACAAAGAGAAGGCTTCTTAGTGTTCATATTTAACCAAAGGTGACTGCCACCACTTTTTATTCTGGTTTGGAGTCTTGTTATCTGTTTTCATAAATTTTATGACAAATATGCAACACAATAGACTCTTATTTTTAATGAATTTTTTAAGCAGCTTTTAAGGCGTTAAACATCCCGATAGCACGCTTGCGCACAACTTTTCCATTGGGATTTGTAGGCAGTTCATTGGTGAACTGAACTCCAGCATGAAGCTGTTTATGCACTGGAGGTAATTTTTTAACCACATGCTCCACAATCTCCTTGGCACTTATAGTTGATCCTTTTTTAAGGACAACCAAGGCACCGGCAGCATCGTTCTCGAGTTCATCGCGGATGCCCACTACGCATACGTTCTGCACTTGCGGCAACTCCAAAATCACAGCTTCGATCTCACCTGGCCAGTAGTGCATGGCTTCGTACTTGAGGATGTCCTTACAGCGATCAACCATGTACAGCAAGTTATCCTCATTGAAGTATCCCATGTCGCCTGTGTGGTGCCAGCCCTCGGAGTCCTGCGATTCGCGTGTTGCCTCCGGATTTCCGTAGTATCCCTGCCAAGTCAGTCCATTGTGGACAAGTATCTCACCCACTTGGTTGTACGTGAGATTCTCTCCGTTCTCGCCTACAATGCGAATTTTGACACCCGCCACTGGTTTGCCCATGGGGTTTCCTTTTTCAATTTTATAGATAGCAGTTATAGATGTGGCCTCGGTACTTGCATATACAGTGCCGATGCTTGCATTCCCCATAAGTTTCTGGCCTTTTTGTATCGTCGTCAGCGCAATAGATCCACCGACGTAAAAAACTTGGCGTATGGAGGATAAGGCCTCAGCGGTGGCATCAGGACAATTCACGAGAGCCGTGAAAGGAAGAGGTGCAAGGGCCAAGATGTCAATTTTGTACTTCCTCACCAGATGCACAATATACTCGGAAGTAAAGGGATTTCTGCTCAGAATGCGGGTGCAACCCAATGTAGTGTTAAAGATAAGCAAGGCAATTCCTCCTAACCAGTCAATGGCAGTGGCTTGAAATACAATTGATTCGCTGTTTATGGGCGGTATCAGGAAATGCAAGAGCCTTCGATTCTCAATGCAAACCACCTTTGGCAGTCCAGTGGTTCCGGAGGAGCAGAGCAATGCCACGGTTTGGTCGCACCCATCAACCAAAGGTTCTGGCCTTGAAGGATTCCCTATTATGTTCTGATTCTAGTTCAGATATCTCGTACTTACTGGTAGGACATTTCGGTGGTGGTAGGTTCCAAGAGGGATTCTATGTTCGGCACTCCCTCAACGTGATCCGTTAGAGTATAGATTTCCGGTTGCCATTCAATCGTTGCTGCCTTGACTTTTTCGAAATCCTTTCCATCGCAAAATATCAAATTTGGCTTGGTTATCGAAAAGACGTACCTTAAGGTTGCTAGAATCAAACATTAATATCAGGGAATCAAGTATATAATGACACCAACAGACCTTCGTCCAGCACTGAATGTGGAGCGTGGAAAGGTGTTCCATTCATCAGACAGGCCACTGCCAAAGATAGCAAATACTTTGAGTGACCAGCTGCTATCCCAATGATATTCTTGTGGTTTAATTCTCGTCTCTTGAAGAATTGAGCAATGCGAATGGCCCACGTGAGTGCCTCTTCAAAGGTCACTGCCACGCCTTCATCATCCCATATCTGAAATGAAACTAACGAAATTAGTTAAATAACACCTCATCTTGGGTGTCTCTTTTACCACACCTGACAAATGTTCTTCGGCCAGTTCTTCATGGATTGGAATATGACGACACCGAAGGCAGTATCATCCTTGTAAATGGAGTTTCGCGGAGGTCCACTCCAGATACGTTCCGCCGCACTGTACGTTACCAGCGTTTGATCCATCAGTAAAATGACGGGTCTGAAAAAATGGGAGCTATTTATATACAGTTTTATTTTTCTTCTTCTTATAAGGCTCATAAATTTCATGGCAGCCGAGTTCTAATCAGAGGTTGCTATCGAATTTATATAGCCAAAAGCAAAAAAAAAAAACGATTTAAAAAGTAACTGCGATTATTTAACAATCTTAAACGATTTTAAAAGTAACTGCGATTATTTAAGATTTTTTTTTGCTTTTGGCTATATAAATTCGATAAGCAACCTCTGATTAGAATTCGGCTGCCATGAAATTTATATAATATTTTTGATTTTGTTTTTTCTTAGCCATAAATAAATCTAGTGCTTTCTTTCCCATAATTTATCTATTTGCATTGAGGGACATGCCCTGGATCCCTTAGGATGTAGATCTTTGGGTGCTATTTGATCAATATATTTTCTCGTAAACATTTCCATCCAAGAATATTAATAATAAAGGCTTTTTTATGGACAATAGGTATATAATATATATTTTCAGGTTGAATGCATAATCAGTATATCCTAGTGAAGACTTACAGCGAACACTTTCACACGGCTTCTTGGTGTTCATATTTAATAAAATGTGACTATCTCCTCCTTTTATCTGGTTTGGGGTTTGGCTATCTGTTTTTATAAATTTATGATAAAAAAAGTTGCTGACAAATATGCAACACAATAGACTCTTATTTTCAACGCACTTTTTAAGCAGCTTTTAAGGCGTTAAACATCTCAAGAGCAAGCTTACGCACAACTTTTCCATTGGGATTTGCAGGCAGTTCATTGGTGAACTGAACTCCAGCATGAAGCTGTTTATGCACTGCAGGTAAGTTTTTAGCCACATGCTCCACAATCTCCTTGGCACTTATAGTTGATCCTTTTTTAAGGACAACCAAGGCACCGGCAGCATCGTAGTCCACTTCATTGTGGACTCCCACCACGCATACATCCTTCACCTGCGGCAGCTCCATTATAGTTGCTTCGATCTCACCCGGCCAGTAGTGGAAGTGTTGGTATTTGAGGATGTCCTTACAGCGATCGACTATGAAGAGGCAGTTCTGCTCATTGAAGTATCCCATGTCGCCGGTGTGAATCCAGCCCTCGGAGTCCTGTATCTGGCGTGTTGCCTCCGGATTTTCGTAGTATCCCTTCCAAGTCAATCCATTGTGGACACATATTTCACCCACTTGGTTGTGCGTGAGATTCTCTCCGTTCTCGCCTAGAATGCGGACCCTGATGTCCGGTTTTGGTCCACCCAAAGAGTTGGCGACTTCAAGGCCAATGTTGTAGGTTATGAATCCGGCCTCAGAAGTGCCATATGAATTCATCATTGTCGCATTTACACAGAGCTCTTGGCATCGCTTCAGCGTGGCGTGTGAGATAGCTCCTCCCCCGTATAAAAAGGATCGGATAGAGGTCAAGGACTCCACCGTGGCCTCAGGACAATGCACCAGAGCAGATAAAGGACATGGTGGCAGGCAGATGAAATCTACCTTGTACTTCTGCACCAGATACACAATATATTCCGGAGTTAACTGCTTTCTGCTCAGAATGCGGGTATATCCTTGCACTGTGTTGAACACAAGCATGGCCACCCCCGAGAGCCAGTCCATGGCAGTCGGAAGGAGTACAATAGTTTCGCTATTAATTGGCGAGGTCGGGCTAAACATTAACATTCGATGCGAAATGCACACCACCTTTGGCAGTCCAGTGGTTCCGGAGGAGCAGAGTAACGCTGCAGTTTGGTTGCCACCTTCGACCAATGGTTCCGGCCTAGAAGTATTCCCAATTAGCTTCTGATTCAAGTTCAGATATCTCGTACTTACTGGTAGGACATTTCGGTGGTGGTAGGTTCCAGAAGCGATTCAATGTTCGGCACTCCCTCAACGTGATCCGTGAGAGTATAGATTTCCGGTTGCCATTCGATCGTCGCTGCATGGATTTTCTCATAGACATTGCCATCGCAAAATATCAGATTTGGCTTGGTTATTGAGAACATTTGCTTTATGGTTGCTGGAAACATACATTAATGCAGAAAAGTAAATGTATTCAGATCGATGTGGTACAGACCTTCATCCAGCACTGAATGTGGAGAGTGGAATGGAGTTCCATTCATCAGACAGGCCACACCCAAAGGATACAATAACTTTGAGTGGCGAGCTGCTATTCCAATGACATCCTTGTGGGTTAGACCTCGTCCTTTGAGGAATTGAGCAATCCGAATGGCCCAGGTGAGTTCCTGTTCAAAGGTGACTACAAAGCCATCGTCATCCCATATCTGCAATTAAATTGATTAGTAAAAGACTTCCTTTTGCATGTCTCCTTTTACACACCTGACAAATGTTCCTGGGCCAGTTCTTCATGGACTGAAATATAAGGGTACCCAATGAAGCATCTTCCTTGTAAATTGAGTTCGAAGGAGGTCCGCTCCAAACTCGGTCCGCTTCACTGTACGCTGCGTAAGTTTCTGCCATTGAAGATACGTGGCATCTGTTCACAAAGAGTTTTAAAACGAAGCTATTTATATAAAGAAAGTGAAATTCTTTAAATAAATAAAAGAGATTATTAAATTTGATAAGATTTGATAATGCATGTATTTGTATGGTATGGTCTTATCATGGAGATAAAGAAAGTGTTTTGGTTGTTCTTGGGTTACCAGTAAAAGAATTTAAAAGTAAGGTTTTTTACTGCCTATGCGTTAAGTGAGTTTTGTGAGTGTTTATATTTAGATTTATTTAGTATTTGCAGAGATTGCAGTATTACCAAGCCAGATAACTAAAAAAGTGTCTAGAACGAAAGACCCTTACTCAGTAGAAGAAGGTGCTTTGACCTGCAATTATCTCCCTTATTACCTTCCTTGTTTTCGAAATTACTTAACTGTGTTCTGTTTTATATTGCTTATGGGTCTAAATGTACTTATTATTTATTAATAAATTTTATTATTCATTATTAATGCTATATTTTATTGGTGATGAAATGTTAAAGATGCTTCTCAAATTAAATAAATAAATAATAACAATACGAATTGCACTTCATGAATATCTTCACCTTAATGCAATATTTGTAATTTTAAAAATTTTCCTTTAATTTTAAAGTTTTATTTCTATTCTTAAAGAAGTAATAACATATAAATTTCGGGTTTACTGACATAATTTGTGTGATTTCTTTCGAACGTCTTTTATAATAAATGTTTTCCAAATAAATTTAGCATTTGCAATGGGTATGCCTCTTGTTAAAACTGAACTATTTTGGTAGTTTCATTTTTACTAGACTTTCCACCACTGCCACAGGGAAGTAAGGTATCGTAAGCCATGCCCTTGCAGAGATTATTGTTCACCTTACGGAAGACTATAATGGAAATTAAAGTTAAATTAATATATAGAGATTTGAAAGTTTTAAGGTTGTTATATGGGTAATAATCCTTAAATTTTTCAAGAGAGGATCTATCTAAAAATCATATTGATAAATATTTAATATTTTGACTTACATTTCGTGGACTTATTGCTGCCACAATTGGCCAGCTGGCGTTGGCAGTCATTCTGGAAGACCTGGCAAATGTTGGCCTTTCCGAGGCGCCCGCAAGTCTTCCTCGTGGAGGTGCAGCTCCTCTGGACACTTCGTCGGCACTGGGGTCTGCGTTTAGAACTGTTTTTAGATCGGATCAGGGAGTGAGTATCTGGAATGCCGAACCCTTCATCCTCATCCTCGGTCTGTCTGCCGTTGCTCTGGGAAATGGTCATTGCGAAGATCGCCACCAGGAGAACACAAGCGAACAATTGGGCTTTCATCGTTTTCCAAACTGCGGTGTCTTCTGATGTTCACTCAACACATTTTACTGCTTTTATACCACAACATTAATGTTTGTTTTGCAAAAACGGAAAACAATTTGTTCCACTTTAACACTATATTGTGTGTAGATCCCTCTCAGCTGTGCTAACAAAGATTTATAATTTGCATTAGATTTTATTGTTTCTTGGGTGCTTAGCCTTGAGCAGAGTTTACCTTTTATTTTGTTTTCTTATTTATTTTATGTTGACAGATAATATCAATAGCTCAGTGGCTTGGAGAGAAGGATTGATTCTATTATTGATACAATAATGATGATTTGTTCTCATTTATTGAGAAAAAGAGAGAAATTTAATTGAAGGTTTTAATGTGACACTCGGCCTTTTTAATACTTAATAAGTGAATATTATTTGGGTTGCCCTTGAAAGTTTTTAGACTTTGATAAATACTAGTTTACAGGTGATCAAGAAGTAACCAAAGCTTGCAAATATATAAGATATATTTATATTTAGTGTAATTTTAACCACTTCCATATTAGTTTACAACAATTTTTATTTACAAAACAAATAAACAATTAACCGCGACGTATGATAATGGGCGTAATGTTGGAGCTGGAGGATGAGCTGGAGGAACCACCGCATGTTCCTCGATTTCCAACAGTTATTCCGGAACATTGGGACAGATTGACCGAGGTGTAGGTGGTGGAGCTAACACAGTTCTTATATCGCAGGGCACAGCTATTCCTGAACCGATTGCACAGATTCGATCTGCCATAGCGGGCACAGGTATTAACCGTGGAGTTCCAGGCACAATTCTCGATCAAACAGATCCTGGGCGAGGAGTTGCTGGAACTGCTGCCGGAGAGGAAGCCGCAGGCCATTGCCAGGATGACCAGGAATGTTGACAGACGGAGAGCGGTTTTCATTTTGCTTTGAAGTTGAAATTTAAAAGGTTTTACTGACATCTTGCCTCGACAACCGGAACTATTTATAGCAGATCGACTTAAGAGTGGCGACCTTAGAAAAAAGTTCAAAAGGTTCTAGCACCTGTGCAAACGCGAAAGAGATAATGTGGGCGTTTCTTTGTTTTTTCTTTTTGGTAATTTGACATTGGCAGATGACTGTCTATAGTTCAAACATTTTCACCATTTAATTGTTAGTTTAAAGAGTGGAATATATGTGAGTTTCAGGACTGTTAAAGAAAATATATTTATATATATATGTATTAATAACAGTCAGTAATTATTGTAACAATCTGTAATTACCATACAAGAAGTACCTTTGGCTTGGCAAAAATATAGTTATTCTGTTTAGTGCTTACTAAGGAATATAATAATTTGTATTTATTTTAATTATTTAAATTTAATTTAATTTTTTAGAACACTATACAGTTCATTTTATTTATTTATATTCCTTTTATTTAAATATAAAAAGTTGACGCTGTTAAACAGGTCGTATACGTAATGTCTTAAGCGGAACATAAAGTCAATCAAGTATACTTGTTTTTTACTTTTCATATGTACATGACATTTAGTTAAAACAAAAAACAGTCAAAAAGTATGCAATAAATATATGAAAAACAATTGTATTAGCATTCTAAACTGATAAAAATAATCAGTTACATATAATGTTAAAAAAGTTCAAGTGTAGTCATGAGAATATTTTGTAAATACATTTTAAAAAGTATTTTCAAGCTAATTTTATGTATAAACATCAGTGATTTACTCTGCTAAACTTTTAATTAAGCTTAAATGTAATATTCAGAACATGATCAGTTTTCAGTAAAGCAGTCAATAACCTGCAATTAAACTTCTTACAACTAAAAACATAGCCCTGGCAAAGTGCGTAATCCCATTCAATGTTTTTTTCCCAGCTTCCAAAGCAAAAGCCAATTGAAAATCAGTCTAAATAAATAAAGCAAAGCAATCAGCTCATGTGCACTTGGCTGGTTGTTTGCAGTTAAGTGTTTTGCTTTTTGTTTGCTTAAATATTCCATAAACGCACTTTTATTAAATGCCGTTGACGGCATTGTTAAGTGTTTTTTCTGGTCAAGGCTGAAAATCAGTTTCGTTAATTGGCTTTGGATTGATTTTGTAGAAGAGAGTACTTGAGGCAGGTAGGTAACTTCTGTGCTTATTTCTTAAAGTTTAAAGAGCAATCAGTGGAGTATTTAGGCAAAATAAAAAATAAAACCGTTTACGCCATGGCAATTTTCTAGCCATGTTAATAATGCAAATTTATGCATTAAGTTTTGAACAATTTGGTATGTGCGTGTTGGCGTGTTATTTACATGTTTTGGCCCCTCGACGGGTCGCCGGGCCAAGTCAAGCATCGATTTAGGCCAGCAATTAGCTGCCCATTGAATCGATAACATGTCTAAGTCATCATATCGCACAATTCTGCCTGCCTGCCCAACTATGTCAGTTGGATATAATGTGCTCTTTGCGGATGGTGAAAAGTTTGCAACACTTTCTATTGATTTGAGGTGACTTCATTGCCTCTGAATGGTGTCTCAAATGGACCTTAATTGAATGGTGGCAGTAAAAGTGATTTGATTTTATATCTCTAAGCATTCTTGATTGCCTGCCATATCTCTTATAATTACCAATCTTTCATATTAATGAACAATGATACTACTTTAACTATGCTATGCTTTATCAATAAATTGATCAGTGATTACATCTTAATATATTAAACTTAATAAAGTGCATTTCCCCATGATTTTGTCGGGCATATTTAATGAACTTTACTGTGCTTGCTGTACATTAATCAATTTGTCAGACTCAATTAAGATATAGAGTCTAAACAAAAGTTCAATTATGTAACACGGAATCGGATCATATTAATCAGCCGTTCATTCAGCCATTGGCAGTGAAAATTGATGAGCCACAACTTGGGAAGAAAAAACAAAATAACAGAAAAACTCATATGTATCTGAGAGATACAAAAGAGAGCCACTGAGTGGCAAAGAGTGAAGTTGCGACCCGAAGATGATGCCACCACTTGAAGTTGCACCAACGGGTTCGGTTTTTGCCTTTTGTCGCATTGCAGGAAGTTGCAAGTTGTCAGCGGGTTGGCCGCATTTGGCATTGGCCACTACCACTGGGGATTGATGACGGAGTTTTGAAAGCGTATTTTTGGGGGTATATTGACTATATAATAGACTATATAATTTACCTGAATTTAGCTGTATTTAGGGATATAGAACACCTAAAATCAGATGTTATTATTGTACTACCATTTCATATATGAATTTCTCAATTTCTCAAAGCAATCTAATTTTATTAAATTAATAAGGAGCAAGTAAATAAAGGCAACAATTTATAAGTTTTTTATATATATCTTGTAGTTTAATTATGTAATTAGTTTATCATTTGTTTAATAATGCTAATACTAGAAAAGTATTTATAACCAAATGTGTCGTTTAAATAGGTCTCTTAAATAATTCAATATCCCTTAACAACAGCTTTTCCAACTCTCTTCTCAATTTCTACAGGGTATCCTTTAACCCACCTTCAAAACTATATATTTCCCGCCTTAAACAGATCTTTATTTGATTGCTGGCAATCAAAATTATTTAATTTAGATGCGGCAAATGCATTTGCTGCCTGAAACGCGATTCGCGTGATGCTGCCAATGCGGCAATCCGGCGATCCAACTGGACTGCGCCCCCGTTTAACAACAACAAAAAAGAAACACAAAAAGAGATGAAAAAAAACAGTAAAAATAAGAGCCAATGTATTAACAATAACAACAAACTTTCACTTTTGGCTCGCTCTTTCTGCCGTTTTTGGGCAGGTCAGTTTCGGACGCTTTAGACCCGGTTAGCTGCAGTCTCGCCGCCGCTGCGATGGTTGAGTGCATTTTCGATTTGGTCTCCTGTAATCAGTGGGCTTTGTTGTCTAAGAAAATGTTGTAATATAATTTTAATTTGTACCCAGAAATGATTGCCAATTGCCGGCTGCCTAATGTTGATTATACAATTTTCATTTCTCATTTTATTTTCCTCGAAACGAAAGTGTGTGGCTAGCGAGTGCTTAAAGCCCGCCTTAATACTTGCCTCCCAAAAGATTTGAAACACACCAAATTTGTGTAATTATTTTTCGTGTCTAAACTTAGCTGACGGAGCTGCAGATTTTGGTTATCCGATTGACCCGGGGCGGATCAGTGAGCTTGGCCATTTAGCGTGGCCAAAAGCGATGGGTAGACCAACGCAAATTGAAGGTCTGACATCTTCGGGGGCAGCCCAAATCGGTAAATAAACAATGGTTCGTTGATAGCCGAAAGGTAATTGTGTGAGGAGCACTGAGAAATTTAAATTAAGATATATATATTATATTTATTTTTGCAAATATTTAAGAGTTTAATGCCAGGAAATTAAGCTAATATGAGTTTTAAGATACAAACAAAAATTATTTAAGTAATTTATACACACTAAAAAGAGGGTTCTTAACATGGTTTCTTTTTGATCAAAATTCACAGAGCTATGACCGAAAATTATGTTGATATATAAAAATATATCCAAGGTCCTTAAAATTGATAGGGGTCTTCCAAATTAAGAGACACAGAATAAATATAATAATAAATAAGTACTTATAAGTATACATTTCTTTAGAATTGGTTTGGTTTTGTTTTCCTGTCTAAGACCTTAGAAGTTTGAGCACTTAAATAACATACTACAATTAGTTTTTATATAGAAATCTTTATTTTATTATTAAATCCTAATTATATACTAATTCTTTCTGTGTATAGTTGGCCCTATGCCTAAGGAAATCCCCTAAAAACAAAGAAACGCAACAAAAAAGCAATGCGCGCATGCGTGAGGTCGTCGCACTTAAATGTCAACGGTTCAGTGCTCTAATGAGAGCCTCCGAGCAAATCCCCCTCCTGAAAACTAAAAACTTAAAAACCGAAAACCCAAAAGACCCCTTGTCGAAGATTGGTCAATTCGATCTGGCCAGGTGAACGGCTGGCCGGGCTAAAAACAAAACCGCTCGCCTATTGCCACCGCTTGTCGCAATCGTGTGGCAAGAAGAATGACCAAAAACAAGGCGGATTTTCGGGCTGTCCAATTTGGACAACTCATTGCGAGAGGAAGGCAACGATGCAGAAGTTGTCGCGATAATTAATGCGATTTTCTATACGGAGGTAATTAAACATACACACCTGTAGCAGAGGTGTAGCATATACTATGATTATTTCTGCGCAGGCGTGAACTGATTAGGCACTGGAAAAATCTGTGACCAAATAAAAACACATAAATATAAACATACAGAAGAAAACACGTACAAAATAAGTTATGTTGCAAATAAATAAAATAAATTAGTAAGAATAAAGAAACAGAAGAGGAAGTGTTTTTTCTTCAAAGCTGAAAATGTTGTACCAAGATAAACTGCTTGGTAAAATTATTTAAGAGCTTCCTATACATCTTAAAATATTACTTTAAGATTAGTAATAATAAAATATGAATAATTTAAAGAATTGTATTAATTTAATCTATTTTGCAGAGTGCTTCTATGTATCAGTCTTATAACACCTGCTCTTTGCAACATGTTCGAAAGCAAACATAATCAAACAAACTCCTCTGATTCGACCTTTCTGATCGTTTTTCCCCTCTCTTGATTTTTGATGGCTTGCATGCAAATGAAGTGATTGTTGCTTTTGCCTTTTTATTCTGTTTGCTTCGTTTTGTTTTTAGCTTTTTTTATATTTTTATATTTTGTTGTTGTGTCTGCCTGCCAAATTTGAGCGTTTAACGGTGTTTTGTTGCTGTCTGAGGCGGCCATCTATAGCTCGATAGCCTCTAAATGCCACAAGAACCCAATGTTTGGACGTGTCCAGTTTGCTAATTGCCACCAAAAATAAAAAATCATTCACTGTCTTTTGTAGGCCACAATTTAATTTGTCGATTGCAAAATATCCAGTG